GGATGAGGGCTCATCCCGCCCCGCTGCTGTTGTGTGCAGCTGCGCTCCGAGTTCCTTCTCCTTTCTCCGCCCTCCTTCTCCTTTCTCCTCCCTCCTTTTTCTTTCTCCTCCCTCAGCATGTCGTTGTCGGCGCCGCCGCTGAAGGTGCTGAGCTCGCAGCTCCGTGAGGCGGTGAGGCGCGGCGGGCACTGGGAGCTGTGGGATTCGGTGTCTCTGCGTTCTGTATGGGTACAGGGCTCGGTGTTGGAAGTTCAGCTCGACGGAGCCCGAGGTGGTTCTGCTCGGTTGTACGATGGTAGCGGAGCCTTCACCGTTTTGGGAGTGCAGCTTGTCCCGCAGGGCCGGGCTTGCCTCAGCGTAGGTATGGCGAGAGTGAGGGGGAGGGATGGGGAAGAGTGTGGGGATGGTACAGCTTTCCCTCAGGGCTCTGCGGCTGGGAGAAATATTCGGGAAAACAGAGGATGAAGCGGGTTGGAAGAGACCTCAGAGATCATCGAGGCCAACCCCACCGTGGTTATTAGGCCGTGGCACATCCAGTTTCAGCTTGCAAACCTCCAGGGATGGTGAATCCATCACCTCCCTGGGCAGCACATTCCAATGCCTGAGCACTCTCTCTGTAAAAAATCTCTTCCTAATATCCAACCTAACCCTCCCCTGGCAGAGCTTGAGTCTGTGCCCTCTTGTCCTGCTGCTGGTTGCCTGGGAGAAGAGACCAACCCCCACCTGACTCCAACCTCCTGTCAGGTACTGGTAAAGGGCAATAAGGTCTCCCCTGAGCCTCCTTCAGACTAAACAACCCCAACTCCCTTAGCCTCTCCTCGAGGAGAGCTGTGACTCAAGAAGCAACGAGTTTTTTCCTATTTCTTCCCTTCAGCAGTGCTGTTAATTCCACTGGAAGTGCTGGACTGCAGAATTGTGGTACAAAATAGGCACATTGAGCTGTGTGGAGACCTCAGAGCAACTTCTCAGTGTCTGAAGGGCCTACAAGGAGCTGGAGAGGGACTCTGTGTTAGGAACTGCAGTGACAGGACAAGGGGTGATGGGTTCAGACTGAAGGAGGGAAAGTCTAGGTTGGATGTGAGGAAAATATTTTTTCCTGTGAGGGTGGTGAGACACTGGCACAGGTTGCCCAGGGAGGCTGTGGCTGCCCCAACCCTGGTGGTGTTCAATCCAGGCTGGATGAGCCTTGAGCAACCTGATCTAGTGAGAAGGTGTCCCTGCCCAGGGCAGGGAGGACTGTGCCTAGATCATCTGTGAGGCCCATTCCAACCCCTAAATTCTATCATTCTTTGTCCATATTTCCATGACAACTGTGAAGTGCTCCAGCAGTAGGACTTGAGAAATGGTCAAAATGATCATAGTCAAGTTTTTGTTCTCTTCTTCCTCCCCCACTCATTCCCAAGTTAGCACATGACAGGAGTTCAGCCCTGACTGTGCTGTTTGGATTGCTAGGAGAATTTAGCAACATGAAGATTTTTGTTGCCTCTGCATCAAGCTCACCACAGGCTTATTTATTGCTGTAATTGCAGAAGTTGTAAACTGTTGTGCCTTCCATTTTACCTGGCAAGTGATTCCTTCATAAGGTGGTAATCTGTACCTCAGGAATATAATTTCTCTTGGAGGTGAACTGTGTCCAAAACAGAATGCTCCCAAGAGTAGTGGGAGTTTTAGGGATGGCAGTGTGGTATGATTTCACTTCTAGTCAATTTTCAAGTTAGAGAAAATTGAAGTAAAACAAAACTTGTGTGTTTTCCTCAGGGTTCTTAACTAATGAAACAAGCCTGCATAAGTTCCACAGGAAAAGGAGGAGCAGTTGTATGCTCCATTCCCTTCCTGCCTTAGAGAGACAAACCCAGATTTACCCAGAAACTGTAGAAATGGTAGATGAATTATAATTTCCCATCTTCTGAGTTGTCCTTCGTCCACTTGCACAGCAGAAGGACAAATTGTGTGCGTGTGTTGACACTGAGTGTATGTGACAATCTCATCAAATCTGCCGTAAAAGTATCTGTTTAGGTAGATTTCAGGAAAAGGCTTCACTGTTTCTCAGCAATCTTCATTCCTTGAGGTTTTTTGCAAGCATTGGCAGCTTCGGTTCAAACTGTTTCACTAGCTGGTTTGAAATATTTTGCTTTCTGAATTAAAAATGGAATGCAGTGGTTAATTAAATCCCATGCTTGTGTTTTAGGGAAGTACGTCATGGTGATGGGTGTGGTGCTGTCCTGCAGTCCTGAGCCTGTTCTTCGAGCAGTAAAGATGACAGATCTCTCTGATAACCCCATCCATCAGAGCATGTGGAGCCTTGAAGTGGAGGATTTGCACAGAGTCATCTCCTAGATCCTGTTTATTCTGCCTAAAACAACTGGCAGTGTATGTTCCTGGTGCTGGACGTTGGACCATTCTATGGTCTCAAGCCAGTTAGAGTAAAGCCAAGTGAGAATTCAGGCTCAGAGTTAACTGGAGGGACCAATGCTTGTCTGATAATCATTGTTCATGTTTTCCAGTCTCTTTGTACACAGATTTGAAACACCTCTTTGATGTTTTGAGTGAGATGTTCATGCTGTTAAGAATGTGTCTCCATTTGTTAGTTGGTGTTTGTGGAGCATGTGTTGGGTAGTCACTCCTAGGTGTTCTTGGCAACAAGGGCTGACAGGCCTTGTGTCAGCAGGGAGATCTCAATACCTGGAGTGAATCAAAATGTGTTTCAGTCCATTCACAGTGTGGTTGGAAATAACATCTTTGCCTGTATTTTCTCTCTCAGGAATGGCCATGTCAGTGAACTCCACTTGTAGGACAGATGTCTCGTAATGACTCTGCTCGTAGCTGAGCACCTCTCTGGTTCTGACTCAGTGCAAGTGGTACAGTGATGCTCCCTGTGTTCCAGTGAAGTGAAGCTAACTGGAAAGATGTGATGCAGAATTCCCTGGAATAGGTTATCCAGGTTCATGATGCAAATACTTTTACCACCCTAAGTGCATTTTTCTCTTTGAAGGTTTCCTTTCTTCTTCCAGTATATGCTATTTTTAGCTGTTTATATCATTCTGATGTATATTTCATTCTTGTCTTTCTCTCCTGCTCCTGGGAGAAAAAACTAAGCTATTAAATTAACTCAAAAGCCTTCAAAAAGCAGAAATGTTACTACTCTTTATTTCCATTCTCATCTAAAGAGTATCTGAGTCTCAGAGAATGCATTGCTTTATCTGTGTGGAATGGCTATACTGTCCAGCAATCAAATTAAGTTATGAATGCTTATGGGAAGGGCAGATCAGCTCTGATTGAACACTGCAATTAAGTGGTGGTAACTGCATTTTTAAGTTGTGGGATTATGTTTTAAAGGTTGTGGGAATAAAGTAATGTCCTTTAAAGATTTGAGATCGTTGCAGATTAAGGACTGGATTTCAGAGAGCAATCCCAGCCTTGAGTTTGGTATTCCAGACCACATCAGAAGCAGCTGGGCAGTGGAAGTCCTGTGCTCTGAGACCCTGCTGATGGAATGCCAGAACACACAGGGATACGGAATTCTGGCAGTCTGTGTTTGTTTATTGCTGTTAAATGTGGGAAGAAATCCACTTGTGGAATGCTGTAGCATTTCAGAAATGATCCAAGTGGTCAGGGTGTTGCTGGTAACTGTTTCTATCCGATGGTTGTTTTCCATGTGAATACTTCTTGTGCCAGGAACCTGAACCTTGTTCCAAGTGTGTTCACCTCGCCATGCTTTCTAACTAGGTAGTAAAACCCTGAAAATGAATAGCTAAAACCTCAGAATTAAATGCAGTTTGCCATCTGGCAGTAATGCATATTCATTGAATGCATCTGAAAAGCTGTAGTGATACAGGATTGGATTGGATTCATGCAGGGCTGGATTGGAACTGTAGAGGTTTTCTTTGCATCTTCCCCCCTCTCCCATTCAGGGGCTCAGGAGGTAAAGCATCTGGGGGTTTTGTGCTCCCTGCTAACAGCCAGTTCCAGCCATAACAAGATCTGGATCTCTTTCTTGCTTGATTTAGGGTGTTTCAGTGTGTGTTTGGCTCTGACCTCACTAAAAACCCCGACGTAGAGCCTAGTTCCAGCCCCCAGCAAGGTTCACATTTGGGCCTTCCTCAGCTCTGAGTGCTGGTGGGGGGTTGGTTGAAGGGGATCGGCTCCTGAGCTCAGCAGTGCTTCAGAAAGCCCCACAGTTATGTTAGTAGAGCAGTAACTGCTCAGCCTGTTAAACCCAAGCCTGGATGCTTTTCTAACAGTTCACATGAAAAAGTGTTTTCCTAGGAATTCCAGGCAAAAGGCACTTGTAGTCAAGTTGAGTATTGTACTTCTAAACAAGAAACTTACAGCGATGGCTTTGGCCTGCAGCTCAGCTGTGCTTGACCTCAGGAGGCTGCTGGTGCTGCTTATGGCTCTTGGTGGCCTCTGTTTAAGGGTCAGGCTGAAGGGCCTTGTCTCTGGGTTTCCACAGTTGGGCACTGTAGGGGGTACTGGGGATTCTCCCTTACCTTGTGTCTCAGCGTGGGTTTGTCTGTGAGTTTTGTTGCTGTTGCACAGCACATAACTAAGAAGTAAGAGGTTGAGGGGATTCTTGAGCTGTCATCTCATGTTGCTAAGTTTTGGGGTGTGAGAGTTGGTGTGGTGTGCAGAAATGGCTGTGACCTTTGTAGATCTGGGGTTTCTGTATAAAGAACATCAAAGGTGAATTGTAGGCACTAAAAATGCTCACACTTGGAGGAAGGGCTGAACCCTTGTGTGCTCCTGCCAGCACAGCTGGGTGTGGTGGGGGCATTCAAGTGCTCTTACAGCATGACCTAACAGGCAGAAGTTCCTTTGTATTTTGTGGTAGTAGTAGATCCATGAGTTATGCAATGGATTTTCTGCATTTTCCATATGACAATGTAGTTTATGTACTGCATTACCTTCATCTGAAGCGTAAACGTTTTGGATTACTTCAGTCAGGGTGTTCTAAAATGCACAGTGTTGTCAGTAGTTGGATGTTAAAAGTTTAGTCCTAGGGCCAGTGCAGAGAAAAACACCCATTTTGAAGTGCTGAAGCTGAATAAATGATAAATTATTCAGTCCAATCCTGCCAAGGATCACAGAGGATCACATTTGTGAGAAGCCACAGATAGTTTGGTTGGCTGTGGGATGTGCTGAGCTGGCACTCTCTGGGGAGAGCGTGTGGCTGCAGCAGGGAGGGAGGGAGAGAGGCTGCTGTCCCTGGCAGGTGCAGCTGGGACGTGCTGCCCCAGTCAGCCCCGTTGTGTTGGCTGTTTGCAGCTGCCTGGCATGGAGCTGTCGTGCAGGGAGGAGGGGTGTGAGCTCCACTGATGGCGTCCCAGGACGGGCCACTGCCCTGCGGTGCACATAAGCACGGTTGGCTGGATGGTTCCCTTGGTTCAGCAAAGGTTTTGCACGGTGCAGTCCAAGAGCCTTTTGGCCTGTGACACACCACTGTGTGTTTGTGGCCCGTTACCAGGTGTGACAGCACTTGCCTTTGCACCACAGACCTGCTATCTGCTGCTGGCTGCACTTCAGTTAAACTCTGTATTCCTGGCTTGCTGACCCAGCTCTTCGGAATCTTTTCTGCCACTTGCTGACATTTTACTTTGTTCTTGCCGCTGCCACCTCGGGATTTTTTCAAAGCTGTTTGTTGTGCTTAGCTGGGAGTGAAGTGACATTCAGGGACTGGGGAGAGGATTATGCTTTTTTTTTTTTTATCAGCAACTGGTATAAATATTCTTTAACTTCCAGAATTAGTTCATACAATTTTGGCTTTATTACAAAACACCTCATCTCTGTGGGTATGCAGTTACAACATTATTAGAGGAATGCTTGATTTCTGCAGTGTTTTTTTATACAGCAGCATCTGATGTGTGTGGGAATCCTAACACTTGCGGGATTTTTTCCTGACTAGTGTGGGAATCATGTTGAGTTGGCCTTTGTTTCAAACTGGAGTGTGATGTTCAGAAAGCAGCACACAGGAGGTGATGCAGGGCCTGTCTCTGAGCCATCAAAGGCCAGGCACTTCTAACTCCATGGGTCAGTACAACTTTATATTCTTAGGAATAATCAGGAACAATGTACTCCAGCAGAACAACAAGTCAAATGTTAACTAGCGTATATTCTTAGGAATAATCAGGAACAATATACTCCAGCAGAAAAACAAGTCAAATGTTAATTAGCATTGTTTCACAGTTCAGAACACCTTTATTTCAATGTATGCATTTTCTGCAGAGACATCTGAAGGATTTGGCAGTGCTACCTTTGACCAAGGAATAGCTGCATTCCTGGTACTGTGTGGAGAAAGGTGATGCATCTTCTTAATCAATAGCCCTACAATATAGAGAGTGATTTAACAGATGGGACACTAACACAAGAGTTGCTATAACTTCTTGAGGCTACTGTATGGGTAGGACAGGTATCAGTCACCTTCTCCCAGCACAACTGATCTCTGAGGGTTCTAAAGACAAAGGGAGAATGTGAAGCTGGTGCACAGGTGCCAAGAAGGCTGTTTCTCATTTAACAGTGTACACGTTCATTAGGGAAAAATCAACCAGCATGAAAATGATGAAAGGCTTTCAATAGGGAAAAATCAACCAGCATGAAAATGCTGAAAGGCTTTCAATTATTTTATTTAACCATCTTATTTCTATCTTAGCCCTCTTGTGTGTTGGGAGCACTTCCCTGGAAAAGAAAAAAAAAGATAACTTTCTTCAGAATTTACTGAACAGCAGAGTTTCATTTCTGGAGAAAAAGGAAGTCAGCATCTCTGCCCAGGCTCAAAGCTGGTGACACTGCCCTCACAGAGCAGGGCACTTGTAGTGTGCTAGGCTGGAGGGACCTTTGCTCAGCTTTGAAACGTATCTGTGCTATGGTTCAAGGCTTGAGAGGCAATTTTGCCACTGAATGGGAAAATTCTTTTCAAGTAACTGATACTGTTATGTTCAATTTCTTTTGGTTGATTGAGTTTCTTTGTCAATATACTGGAATAGTTCCTCAGGGCCTCGGGGTGGAAACCTTTCCTTCTGTACTACGTGTGTGTCACTCTATTCACAGTCTAACACCAGTGCATTCCCAGTTCTGTTCTCCCCACTGCTGCCTCTACCTCATCTACCTAAAACAACCGTGCTGTTCTGGGTGCTGCAAGGATTCCTCCATCTCCAGCTGGTTCCTGCCACTCAGAACTGGCTCAGGCTGAAATGAAAAAGAGATAAGTCCAGGTAAGTAGTACAAGTGAGATGTAATGCAACCTGTTTGTTACTACACTTGAATTACAAGAAATCTTTGAAGGGAAAAACAACATCAAATATACTTATGACATCAAAAAGCTGTGGGAAAAGTACTCCAAC